TTTGTTGGTTTTTCACTTTAATAAATTCAACAAACACTATTTCATTATATCTTTGGAATACTGATCCAAAAATATTGTATAATTACCGTGATTTTAATTCTACTTATATAATCTCTTTTCATATTAGCCAATCATTTCTTTGTTAACAATTTTCAATGAATTTGATCCAAGATCCTCATTGACGATATCTATCACTATTGCATATACAAGAATTTCTTTTCAATAATGATTTCATTTTAGTTTCATCCTCTATTTAGGAGAATTATAAAGATTTCATTATTGTATATAATTTCAACATTTTCATTGTGTTTAAGTACTTGAACCCTTTCTTAGGGTTATTTTCTCAAAAACTCTTCAAGAGTTTTATTATTTCAGTAGTACTAACATTCTACTTATGCTTTCTCTTCATTTTTGGATTTTTATCCTTAGAATCATTTGTTCTAACACGCTTTTAGCATATACTCACTCACTAATATTTTAGCAACTTCTTTAATGAGAATATCAATACAAGTAGGGGTACTTAAAACTTGAATATACAATCTATTACTTTCATTTCGTCAATAAATGCATTCATCAATTGATAGTATAGAATTTTGAAATTTCAATTCATATCAACTTATTTGAGGATCTTGGAAGATGCATGTCAAGTTATCTCGTGCCTTCCCAACATTTATTTTTCTTCCCTTAAACCTAAGAACATGATTCATTTAGGTTGATAATCAACAAATTTTGTTATATATATAAAAAAAAAATTTCACAATCAGTCCATATAAACTCCAACCTTCCTTAGGATTATCCAGCCAAATATGATCTTAATATAATATTTCATATTTTTTAAGGGATTATTTTGTTACCTTTATATTCAAGCATATAATAATACCATAATATATCAAAATATATTTCAAGTAATTTATTTTATATTTTTCTTCTTAATTTACTTTTTTTTTTTCATGTTAAACTTTTATCAAATATAATAAAATTAATAATTTAAAAATTTTTTAATAAAAATTTAACAATTTTCTATACATTATTTTATAGCTTTCTTTTTTGATAAGTACGTTATAAATTTTTCGTAAAATTTTCTTGAGAAAGTTAACCTTTAACCAAGTACACCCTACTAGCTTTGGTAAGACAAAGCAACCATAGGTAATATAATTATTACATTCTTAATTATTAATATTATATATTTTTATATTAATTGATTATTATATTTTTTAATTTATTAAAAATATATATAATTTAAAAAATATATATATAATGT